CCTTATAGTGTAAGATAAGACAGTAATAATAAGATTGTTAGTGAAAATGCTAAATTTCCGCTATTTTCCACTTACTATTTCACATTCAATATCAGAATGCACAAGAAAGCAGTTAGTCCACGTGTACGGACGAGGCGAACGCAAGCGTAGCATCCGGCTATTGCTTTTTCTTATTTTTCACTTCTATCAGTACGAGTTTTTCATGTTGAGTGTATGCTGTGTGGACGTTAGGAAGGGCCTTGATGGATTGCGCATGTCTGACTATCTTGACAATTATATGGTGATGTAAATAAGTAGATGCCTATATACGTTGTAAATAGTTTTGAACGTGAGATATGAATTTTATAAGCAGACGCAATTCAAATAAATGACTCGAGAGGGATTAACTATGTCAGCTTTCCTTTTAATAATTTTATAACATAATTGTAATAACACATTTTCTGCTCCTAGTCCTACAAGTTCGCACAATTTCAACACCACAAAAATTTATACGGGAAGCGCAACGAAAGCTACATCTTCGTACAAACCGAGCAATTACGAATACAAGGCACCGCGATTTCAAAAAACGCACTCCCTGTACTACAAAATCTACGTGCAATCTCCCTGTTCTACCAACTCTCACGAGATCTATCTAGTCATTCTAGTGTAACCTACTACTCTGGAAGCTTGACCGAATTACTTGATTGCCGTAAAATTATAAATACATGGCAACTTGAGATCTACCAAGCGAAATCCCACCACCTAATGACAGGTGTCAGCTAAGTGCAACGTTATTGGTAGCAGAACTCTGGGTGGGTGTTTGACCTGGGTCAATCAACTAGACCCAACATGGCGACCAAACTCAACCAGTCGACGCTAGCAACGATGTACGATTGACTGCCGATTACTTACGATTACTTATTTAATACGTGCAACAAAAGATATATATATATACATAATGTTAAGATTTCAGCACTACTATACAAACTTACAAAAATGCGTTGGTAATCGAATTCACAGCTTCATTTCAAAATGAACACGAGTCCGTTATATTTACACCTACACATGTACACATAACACCAACACATTTTATCGATTGAATTCATAACGAGTGTGACTTGATGCACCACAAATGCATCGCATATTGCCTTCTACTTCTCTCATAGATTAGACACCTAGCAACTCTTCCAGCATTGCTCATTGTATAACCGCCTCGGAATGTTTAACATCGACAGATGTACCAGTTATTTACAGAATTACTCCCACCAACTAACTAACTACCAGCAACGAAGCTTACCTTTGTCATCGTCACATAAACGACATGCACGTTTCACAGAGACTCTGATGCTTCGCATTTACAATGAATGTGTACGCCCAGCTTTTCCCACAATTTCATCACGAGATGCAAGAAACAACGAGGCACAAAAATAGCCGTCACGAGGTCACGAGATGCGACACGAAGGATGGGTAGCAGCCTGGTAGCGAGGTAAATGATGTGTGCAAAGACTCGACTATTCACGCGAGCATCACGAAAAACAAATGCAAGAGGACATGAGAAATGGTCGACTGGAAAGGTGGGATACTTTCCAAAAGGAGTCTCGATCGACCTCAGTTTGCCACGTTTCACGGTGCTTTAACGTGACAACAGACAAACACAACTTGCGATTCAACAAACAGATTCAGTTTTCAACACGCTAAAGCTATCAATTGTACAACTCCACCTATAGCCAAGCTGGTCAGCACTTATATACTATTAACTCATATAGACTTCTCTTCCATTCTATTACATACGGACTGATATGTACAAGCCAGACGCCCTCTATGAGAGCACACTGTAACAACATACAGGCTTTCCAGCAGTCCTTGACAACATTTTAGGGCTAATTTTAGGGAGAAATTCAGGTTTTTTTAGAGCTATTTTAGGAATTTTTAGGGATGAATCGAAACATTTTAGGGATAAAATAAGTCACTTACCTTTCATAAACATCAACGTGTTAACTTACAGATACAGTTCTATGTGGTATGTATCCAGTCTACCAGCTATTCCTATCCTCCAAGTCCTCGATACGACTGTACATCATCAAGTTTCATGCAAATTAGGCATGTCTTGTACATCCAGCCAGGAACAGGGTCGTATAATCAGACACTGAAGCTTAGGAATCACTGGTAGACGGAGAGTCACAATACTCACTCTGTATAAAGATAACTAGAAAACATCCATTACTATTAGACATAATTACAAACCAAAAGTTCATCATCTCATCACCAAAAACTCCAAACATATCTGTGGAATTTTTTTTTTAGGAATTTGGAGACCAGCTCAAAATTTTAGGAATTTTAGGGCCGCTGGAAAGCCTGTTACATAAGGACACCGACAACGCATATTGCTTGTGAAACACTAACTAATGATGTGAAGTCTTGTTAACCAGAGATGGTGTCGGCTATGCCGTACTGCGAAAATGCCAAAACCTGAAACAGAACAAGGAATGCATGAACTGTATTCAGACAACATGTCAGACGACTTCTCTAACTCTCTCTCTCTCTCTCTCTCTCTCTCTCTCTCACACACACACTCTCTCTCTCACACACACAC